GTTTCCCTCAGTGCTCCAGTTTATCCAATGAGATGTGACATTATTAACCAACATCACAGGCATAATTTGAGAAGTTACTAAGAGAAACCAGAAAAGTAGGAAAAACTTAAAGAGAAAGTGGTAGGCAGAATGGCCCCCCAAAGATAGCCATGTCCTAATCCCTGGAATCTATGCATATGGTAAGTTATACGGCAAAGGGAAATTAAGGTGCCGAGAGAATTAAGGTTGCTAATCAGAAGGCCTTAAAATGGGGAGATCATCTTAGATTATCTAGGTGGGCCCAATGTAATCCCAGGTCCTCAAAAGTGGAAGAAGGAATGAGAAGGGAGGACTAGGGAGATGGCGGCCTGAGAAGGATTCAGCCCAACGTTGCTGGCTTTTAAGATGGAGGAAGGGGCCACAAGCCAAGGGATGCTGAAAAAGCCAAGGAAACGTCTGCCTTGGAGCCTCCAGAAGGGGCACAGACCTGTCAACACTTTGAGACCCGATTCAAACTTCTAACCTCCAGAACTGTAAGAGAATACATTTGGTATTGTTTAAGCCACTAAATGTGTGGTAATTTGTCACAGTATCAGTAGGAAACTATTATAGAGTCCAAGATCAGCTTTCAAATTCTAAGCAAAAAGATATGTAAATACCCCAAATTCCAGGACTAGGATTCCCTAACTCTTCTTGGCAACTCCCTGCACCATTGAGCAAGCTTCCCAGAACCAACCTGGTGCTTCAGAAATATCCACTAGTGAGAAACAATATGGGGTCTTGTCCAGACTCAGCGCGTCATGCCATTCACACAGGGGCCGCAGCACCTAGGAAGAAGCTGGTTCTTGCTGCATTCAGAGAAAAGTCAATTGAAGCAATGATTTTGGGGGAGTAAAGATAGTTCCAGTTCACCCAGAAAGGTCATTGGGTCTAATAGCTCCATATTTCAGGGCCTAACACAGTGCCTGGCATATAAAAAGTACCCAACAAATATTTACTATATGACCAAATGAAAAATGGAGTGTGTGGGAGTGTCTTTTAGCTTCCACCATCCTCTCTACAATTCTTTCTTTCATGTCCTCTGGAAAAAGCCTCAAGACCTTATGGGGCTGAATTTTCCAGGCTTTTTTTGCACTTGAAGTACCTGCCACATAAAATGTCCAGACATCAAGGAGCAGTTGATGCTCTCTGTTTGAATTCCAAGCATTCATTTAATTTACAAACTCCTAGAGAGTAGAGCCATTTGTCTATTAAGCCATACTTTCTTTTATCTGTTATTCATTTTATTTGTTAGTTGTCAATGTGTCTTATTTGTCCCTTTTTCTCCAGTGTCTCTTCTCCACCCTTTGAATCTGTAGCAGCTTCAAATCCATTGCTTCCATATTGTATCTATGCATCAGAAATACTTTTGGCTGCAAGCAACAGTTTTCTTGATTATTAGTGGCCTAAATCAGGAATCAGCAAACACAGCTTACTGGCCAAATCCTGCCCACTGCTTGTTTTTATAAATAAAGTTTTACTGGAACACATTTATTTACGTAGTGTCTATAGCTGCTTTCACACTACAAGGACAGGTCAATTAGTGGTAACAGAGACCATATGGCCTGCAATACCTAAAATATTTACTACCTAGCACTTAAAAAAATCTGCCAAACCCCGATTTAAGCAATAAAGAGATTTAATTATCTCAAGTAACAAAAACCTTCAGGGTAGGAGTTTCATGCTTGCTCAGCTGCTCTCCAACGCCATTAAGGACTCAAACTCCATCTTTTCCTTCCATCATCCTTTGCATGTTGGCTTTTCTTCCTCATGCTTGTTAGCGCATGTTCACAAGATGGTTCCCATACCTCCAGAGGTCACATCTGGGTCCAAAGGATAAAGAAAAGGGCCAGCAACAATCCTTGCATAGCTGTTCCTTCTCTAAGAAAGCAAAGAATTTCCAGAAGCTCTCCAGTAGCTTCCTCTTAGTCTCATTGGACAGAACTCGGTTACGTGGCCACTCCCAGGTGCAATGAAATCTGGGAAAGCAAGGCCCTCCTGTCTGCAGGTTCCACATCCGCAGATTCAGCCAACTGTGAAGGAAAATATTTGAAGAAAAAAAACAACAAAAAATAATGCACATTTTAAAAAAAACAATACAGTACAACTATTTACAGAGTATTGATATTTACACTGTATTAGGTATTATAAATAATCTACAAATGATTTAAATACACGAGAGGATGTGTGTCGGTTATGGGCAAATTCTATGCCATTTTACATAAGGAACTTGAGCATCCTTGGATTTTGATATCCACAGGGGTCCCGGAACCAATCCCCCACGGGTAGGGAAGGATGGCTGTATCTGGGAAAAGGGTTCTGTTAACAGAGAAAAATGGGGATTCTGTTAGCATAAAGAAGTGAGCGGAAGAAATGTTGTGCAATCAACAGTCTCACCACACCCTGGACAAGGGCAAGGAGAAAAGACCTAGTATTTGTTGACCACCTACTATGTGCTGAGTATTGAGTACTTTACATACTTCAGCTCATTTAATCTTCACACTGAGGACACTGAGGGAAATTACTCAGAGAAGTAATTAACTTGCCTAAAGACACATGCCCAGGGGTGGGGCTGGATGTTAACGCGAAGCCTGTGCTCAGTCTCCTTCACTGTGTCCCCCTCACATCCCGTGAGGAGTGCTGAGGGATTAGAAGGTGCTTTCACACGTGCGAGGCAGGCAGGGCGGGGAAGCCAGGAGGGGTGAGAGGAAAGACCCTCTCACCTACCATAGGCTGGCACAGTGAGGCACATTTTGCTTACTTTATTTCATTTATACCATCGAAAATCTCTAAAAGGTAGATATTATCAGTCGTACAGATGAGATTTTATAATTTAGGTGACTGAGAAGTGACAAGGCTGGCCAGGTGTAGTGGCTCACGCCTGTAATCCTAGCAGTTTGGGAGGCTGAGGCAGGAGGATTGCTTCAGGCCAGGAGTTAGAGGAGTGGAGGGGCTGGAATTGGAGCTATTCATTCATTTAGTTATTCATTTCCCTCACAATATCGAGTCCCTGCGGTGTGCCAGGACCTGTGAAATCTGACTCTCAGGTTGATTCCAAAACCCATGAACTTTCTACTCCCTCCACCATGCTATCAGCTCCATTTTAGAGAGAGGTTCGGAAAGGTTCTGGGGCTCGCCCAAGATCATAACGTTCCTACAAGACAGAGCGGGCCTTGAATCCAGACACTCTGGCCCTAACTCCAGGATGCCCTCCCAGGCTTTCTCCCTAAGCTGTCTCCTTCCCAGTCTTCTACTTTTGCTTTTTGGACCCACTCGATGTCTCCCTGTGTCCATTGTTCAGGCTCTGCAGGCTCGAAAGATTGACGTGAAGACTATCCTCAGAGGTAGGAAGAGATCTGGTGCGTATAGAATGGGTTTTAGGATGCCGGAGCCATTGAACTGCTGAATTAACCAACCCTGGTACTCTCCAACCTTTGGTCTTTTTGTTAATGTGAGATAATAAAACTTTCTTTCTCGTTGTTCAAGTCTGTTGAGTCAGATTTTACTACATCCTAACAAGTGTGAAAATGTTGGTCTCTGGTCTTCCAGTTCTTACTGTCTGGGACACTGAGGCCCCTGCTTCAAAACCATTTCTACTTGCTTTGACATCATGCTGGTTCATGGTGCTGAGTCCTGGTCCATTGAAGAGATGGAGGCTTTGCACTCATGTGGCTTTTGAAGCCCTGGATTCTGGTTCCGACCCCACTGCTAACTGGCTGAGCCTTTACTCTTTCTCTTTCCAGGCTTCATTATTGCCTTGGGGCAGCTGCTTAGCCAAGGGGTAGTAAATGGGATGCATCCCTCGTGCCAGTTCTCACTGGGACACCGTGTGGATCACGTTCATGGAGCATCAAAGAGTGTATGCTGTATGTCTCCATTCACAGAAGAAACTAGCCCATGGTGTTAGAAATCAGAATAGTGACTACCTGGTGGGGAGGACGATGCCGACTATAAAGTGGCATGAGGGAACTTCTGGGCTGATGCAAACGTTCTGTATTTTGTTTTCTGTGGTGGTTACAAAGGTGTATACAATTGTCCATTTTTATCGAAGTGAACGCTAAAGCTCTGTGAAAGTTATTTAAATTATGTGTCAATTTCAAAAATGTTTTAAAAGAGACAATGGATTCTGAGATGACATTTAGTTCAACAGTCAAGAATGCCGTGACTGATTAGCGATGTCTGCCACGGACAGGGGAGGGTGGGAGATGTCAACACAAGTGCCACAAGTTTGCTGTTCTTGTGCTTCAGCCATGGTCTTCTGAGAGTTTTGATATCACTTACAGGATTATAATGAGGTGAAAGTTCTTTGTATAATATAAATTCCTAGGCAAGTGTGAGATGTTATTATTCACATTTATTCTCTACAATGTCTTGCTCAGTGGGACTGACTTTGGCAGGTAGGTTCCCAGAAAATTCTCCCTGGTTGAAATGAAATGCACCAGAGCCAGATATTTTCAAAATGCCAGGCTCCCCATGGACAGGGACATGGTTTGTCTGTCCCATTATTCACATTACAAACTTTGGATGCCAGTGTGGATCTGCGAGCAGGCTTCCCCATGGCACTACAGAGCCATTTTTGAAGGTACTAAAATGATTTCCACAGGCTGAACTAGGTAATGTTTTCATCTGAAGCTTTTATCCTTTTCTAATGCTCTCTCTCGAGATGGGGTCTGGTATTTATCATTTCTCCCTCTCCTTCCAACTGCAAATCTGCAGGGGCCTTTCAGAGCTTTGCTCTGTGGGCTCTTGGTTTATGTCTGTTAGCCGAGGAATCTGTTTTTGGTGCTGTCTGGCACCTTCTGGGAGTCTCCTGGATTACTGATGAGGACTATGCTAACCAGCCTCTATCACTGAGAGGCTCAGGGTTCAGCAGCTGTGCTGTTTCCTGACTGGTGTCCCCACAGAGGGAGCAGGACAGAGCCTGGCAACCGTACCTCTACTTCCGAAGCCAGCTGGAGAGCCAGGCCCACCGGCAGATCCAGCCTGGGTATTCAGCCAAGAGATACCTCCGAGGCCTCTTGCAGACGTGGCCCCCTGACACCATGTACAGGCTCCAACGTGCAGGTCAGTGGGGAAATGAGAGGGGGGTGCACCCCGAGCTGCCCCACCTCGCGTTCTGGTGTAAGAGTGTGTTTTCCATCAAGGTCCGATGGATTGCAGGCCCAATTTTCTATTAAAGCAAAGTCCCCAAGCTTGGTAGCCCACAAGCCTCTATCATGGCTTGCACCCTTTGTCCTCCCCACATGTGCAGAGGCAAGGACAGCCTGGGGTCTTGCCTTCACTCCCACCCCTCACACTCAGTGGCCTCACACTCCACATCCCAAACCAGAACTTTCTTCCCAGACTTTTCTGCTCAGAGGCCTCAGAGATCCTCCAGTTCAACCTCCAGCTTTTACAAGATGAGGGAAAAAAAGGACCAGAGAGGCAAAGTAAGTTGTCCAAGGTCATTCAGGCAAAAGCAGAGCTGGGACCAGAAATCAGATCCTCCCTGAAACCCCAGCTCCACATTCTTCCCAACATTCCCCTGTTCACTGTCTGGGGTGATCTCAGCTCCTTTAGGAAGTGAAACGTTAAGCCTCCTCCTCTTAAAGATGGTGGCTCTGCAACGCGACCCACTTAGAAGTGAGACGGACACCCTTCTGCTGAATAGAGACCCCAAATGCACTCTGCAAAGGCTTAAAAATGAAAACGGGAAATGGTCGGGGATCAGAGTTGCTAGATTTAGCATGCGCGCACACACTCCTGCCCCCTACCACCCTTCCCCTGCACGCAAAGAGTTAAATGTGCAATTTGGGACATACTTCTACTAAAAAAGTATTCGTCGTTTATCTGAAATTCAAACTTAACTGGTCATCCTGTATTTTATTTGGCAAACTTATGGGGGACAAGAAGAGTGAGCAGAGGACTTGCCAGTGCCCAATCAGCTGTTTGCCATGTCTTCAGCAACAGCGAACAGGCAGGGCCAGAGGAAGACTGGCTTTATAGGTTTACCCTGGGAAAGGAGAGAAGTAGCTCTCTCCCCAGTAAGTGGCAACCTGAAGCAAAATGAGAGCTGTAATTGATTTTATTTTCATGGCAGCTCCATTTATTTAACACTCGTGAGAGAGAGCCTCTTAACCAAAGATGTGTTTATCACTGGGTGGGACAGAGGGCGGAACAGGCCACTGTCCCACGGTCTAGGCCCAACATCTTCAAGAATGAAGGCCCTTTTTAACGTCAAAAAATGTCTCAGACCCCTCTGTGGGAGTCATATGGCTGAAATATGTGGTTTAAGAAAAGATACGTGCACATGTGCATTCTTGGGCCCCTTGCCATAATTCCTTGCCAAAGCCCTCTTGAAGGTGAGGCCCTCAAACAGGAGACACAATTGCCAAAGGCCCCAAGGCCCCTGCCACCCTCTCCTCTCACATCTCAGAGGTCACCACCTTTGTGATGCTAGTACATTCTCTGGTCCCTTCTTTGTGTCCCTATGATAAATCTTCAAGCCCATGTCTACAAAGCCTTCTCTGACAACTCCAGTCAATATTGAGCTCCTCACTTTCTGACCTTCTATCACACTGACACTCAGAGCCACACAGTTGAGCACAGGAGAGCTTTGTCTCTCCAATAGACTGTGAGTCTATTAAAAAGGGCCCATGTCCGGTTCCTCTGTATCTAGCCCATTGCCTAGAAGAGGGGTGAGCCCATTGGTAAGCCCTCAAGAAATATTTGCATGATGACTGGATTGAGAAGGGTGTTGATCATGGCGCCTACAGAAGCAAGCAGGACGCATCCACTACCATCGGATCTCTCCTCCTGAGGCAGAAGGAACTTTTTACCCAGGCCACAGGAAGTAGCCATGTTTCTTCCACAAGGGAGAGCCAATTCTTGGGAATGATGGAGCAGGAGCAGCACACACGTGGCACAGGGCCAGAAGCACCCAAGGCACTGTATAGAGAGGCCTCTATGGGTTCTAGCTGACTGTTTAATCCCTCTCATCTTCTAATTGTCTTCCTTAACGGGCAATGTCCCAAACCAGGACTAGTATAAACGGGACCTTGTGGTTATCTACAAGAACTATAGATTGGCAACCACTATCTCTATCAATAACTCCTGACCTACCCTTCAGGATACATCAAGGATTCTGTGCTGCTCCAGGACAGTCAACTCAATGTACCAAAGAATCTCAGGCCACAACAGGATCTTTCAGGTGTACCCCCAAAATACCATCTCCTGCCTGTCTTCCCTCCATTTTGGATTCAACAAGGAAAATCTTTTGATCAAGGTACATGTTGATTTTATGACCAGTTCTCAAATACTTGGATTTTTAACACCTTAAAATGGAGTTTCCCAAAATAAGGTCTTGGGATTCTGGGTGTTTCATGGTCCTCCTCTGTAAAATGAAGGGGTTAGTCTAGACCAGCACCGTCCAATAATACTTTTTGCAAGGATGAACTGTTTTGTATGTGCTGTCCTATATATTAATAGTAGCCATTAGCCACATGTAGCTATTGAATACTTGAAATGTAGCTATTGCAACTGTGAAGCTGAGTTTTTTATTTTAATTAATTTACATCTAAATATCCACATGCAACTAGTAGCTACTGTATTGGACAGTGTAGGCCTAGACTCATCTTAGATAATTTCTTATATCTGTTCCACCTTAATATTATTTAATCCTGTGATTTTTGTGGCAATATAATGTGAAAAAAAATAAGCCTTGGGTCATAAATCTGTATTCCAGTGGCTGTTTTCTCAGTTACTAGTTGTAATATCTTGAGCAAGTCACTTAACCTCGTTGAGCTTCTATTTGCTCATCTCTGCAATGGGCATAATAAGACCTCATTACCATATAGAAGATTATTGTGTGCTGTCAGTACCATGAGGATTTTACCTGTCAATATTATTTTTGGGAATTAGAAGCACTCAAAGAGCCAGAAGTTGTCTTTGGTAAGGGAGATGGGAAAAGATGACTAGGGAGCAGTAGGGCCTTGGCTAGAAAAGAACAAGAGCCCAACGTAATACAAAATGTTGTCTGAAATAAAAAAGAAAATTTTCAGAAACATTGGTGGTGCCCGACCAAGCCCTATCCTGGGGTAAAGGGTCTGATAGGGTAAGTAGAGAACCTGGCTTAATGAATGAGTAGAGAACAGGGCAGGTTCTCAGAGCCTGAGGCCGTTAAACATTCCAGCCACACACCTCGCTGAGTCTTGTCTCTGGCACCAGGGACTTCTGGTCATAACTTGATGTGTCATAACACACAGGTAGTTTGTCTATATGAAATATGTGGGTCACACAATTCTATTTCTCTTTGTAAATTAATACCCTGGTCTATCCATGAATCTCTATGCATTTTGCTAAAGTGGGTCAATATCCTGAGGCCAGTTGACTCTGGGGCACTGAAGAGATTGATTTCTGGGCCATCCATGTCCTGGGGAGTGGTGAGCTGATTCATGTAGTTCCCCTGTGTGGGCACTCGCTGCCTTTCTCAGGGTGGCACACTATCTCACCATTGCCTATGCCCTTTCTCTTCAAAAATCCTGCTGTCTCCAGTTAATATCCATACACTTTGATGCCTTAGGATCCCGAAACATTGGACAGTGGATTGCATTGCCTCCGTTTTATGAATGGATGAACACTGCACACCTAAGGGGTAAAGTGACTTCCCTAACTGATGCCATATACCGAGGAGCTGCCACAATCAGGCAGAAAACAGACAGGCTGTATAGCATAGTGATTAAACATGTGGCCATTAGCACCAGATTCCAAGCCATGTGGCCACTCTGGGCCTTGGTCCCTCATGCATAAAATGGAGATGGCCATACCCACCTTTCCTCTCAGGGCTGGATGTGGGACTTAAATGGGGTAATGTAGTAGCTGGCACTTAGTAAGTGCTCAACAAACAGTAATTGTAGACCTTCCTAGCTTGTGTTTTTTTCACTTCTATTTTATTTTATTTTATTTTTCAGGTAGAGTCTCACTCTGTTGCCTGGGCTAGAATGCCATGGCATCAGCCTGGCTCACAGCAACCTCAAACTCCTGGGCTCAAGCGATCCTTTTGCCTCGGCCTCCCGAGTAGCTGGGACTACAGGCATGCGCCACCATGCCCGGCTAATTTTTTCTATATATTCTTAGTTGTCCGATTAATTTCCGGCTAATTTTTTCTATATATTCTTAGTTGTCCGATTAATTTCTTTCTATTTTAGTAGAGATGGGGTCTCGGCTCTTGCTCAGGCTGGTCTCGAACTCCTGAGCTCAAACAATCCGCCCACCTCAGCCTCCCACAGTGCTAGGATTACAGGCGTGAGCCACCACGCCTGGCCTTTCACTTGTGTTTTTTAAGTATAATTACTACTAATTGCAAGGTCCAATTGCTCGTGATCACAGGGGCCAAAAAAAAAATCAATTTTAAAGAAGCAAAACGAGCTCACAGGCTGGAACTTGAACTCTGACTTATGTTTTCATTGGTTTTAACTTTTTTTCCCTGTTAGCCTCCCTCTCTTTGCCAGACACTTTATCTGGAGAAGCAGCAAAAGTCCTGGCTGCAAATCCCAGATTCTCCACAGTGTGATGGTGGCCAAGTCACTTGTGCTTCCTGCATCCTCAGTTTGCTCACATGTAAAATGCAAATATAATATCTGCATTCCTTCCTCCCTGGGTTGCTGTGAAAAATCGTAGGAGAGGACAGAGGTAGAAAGCTCTGTAAAAGCTCTAAATTGCTACCCCAATGCACATTATTTGGGTTATCTGAATCCATATTTGAGATATAGAGAGACTAAGTTTTGTGGTCTCCTTTCAACAATTGAAACTTCTGCTGCTTTGCTTGCAAACCTGTTTCTATTAAGCATAGACAAATGAGCCAGATGATGATGTTAACTGAGAAAAAAATCCTTGTTTCCCCTCATATTAGATTGAGTCACATATTCAAACTCCTCTGGGATATAGCAAAAGGGAAGATTGTCTCTCTGTATTCCCCCATGCACAATGCCCCAACTTAGACACTCTGATATATTAGACTGTTCAGTAAGTGAGCAGTCATTTCGCTAGAGTTTTACTCCACCCTCAGAAATGCATTTGGTTCCAGGTAAATCTGAGTGGGAAGGATGGACCTAGGGTCTGACTTGACCTCAAAGGATCATTCTAGAATACTACAAAAGGTCTTTAGTGCCACATTCTGTAGAGGGAGTTGAGGTCCTCTTGGGGGCAGGCCTAATGTGGCCCTGCGCTGCCTCAGATTGAGGAATCCCAGGGCCCAACAGGCTTGCCTGGGCCACTAAAACCTGAGCAGACCCTCTGAACTGGAGCCTGAGCCTGCACCTGTTCCACCAACACTCTCAGCATCATTTCAAACCCAGACAGCCTTTAGGAGCCAATGGGCAGAGGAAGGGGAGCTGGAGGAAGGGAGTAGCCCTACACCTGGGCATTACACTCTTGACCTAGTGACACTAAGGACAGAAATGACAAGGGAGGTGAGGGCTGGGGAGCACAGGGGGAAGGTGAGGCTGGCTGGGGAGGAGAAGCAGCTCCCAGAAGGCCAGTGCTCCACCACACACGGGGCCCCTGCGGGCTCCCAGAGCCCCTGGTTGAAAGACAACCCCGCATTGTTCCACAGAGCTGCATGCTGGGAATGGAAGTATTGCTAAAGCTTGGCTCCACACGAGGAAGGCTTGCCAGACTGTTTCAGCAATAAATCTACCTGAAGTGATGAAAATAGCTGCAGGACCCTTTAAACCATTGATGAAAGATTTGTTAACTATGTTGGAGTCATCTGTTGACTCAGATCCTTCCTGAGTGTTGCAGACAGGGTAAGTTCAGAGAGCTAAGCAGCAATGCCCCTCACTGCATTCGGCAGAGGTTTTTCCACAAGTAAACAGCCAGGAGACAGCCCAGGAACCCAAGGGCTTGCTTCAGACAGAGCATCTCAATGACAACAGAGCAGGGCTGCAAGCCACACCACTGCCATCTGCTAATCCCTTGCAATTTACAAAGGACTGTGGTATTCATTGTCTTATTTGAGCTCCAGACAACTTTGGAAGAAAGTGAGGGCAAGAAATCAGTATCTCTGACACAGAAAAGGAAACTGCATCCAAAAAATGAACCAGGGTTGAGTCTCCTGACTTGTGCTGCAACTCTGTTTCCACCCACCTGGCTGCCACTTCCGTGGGGGCACTGTCAGAAACAGAGAAAATGGAGGAGGAACAAGGCCTTGAACACGTGTGCTCAGAGAAGCAAGAAGGGAGGCAGTTTGGAGGCAGCAATAGCACCACACCCATTTCTGGGGTTACAAGCTGACCCGCTGTTCACCTTTGCAGGTCAACAGGGCCCAGATGAAGGGGAAGCTGGGGCTGGTGGACACGTGGACCAGGGCCCTGTAGCCAAGAACTGCAGCAGTGAGGGGAGTCACTTGCGGCCACTCAGGAAGCAGCCCTGGCAGGAAGATGAAACCAGGGCAGAGGTACCATTTCTGATGCACTCCCCTGTCGTTGTTTTCCTTGACTTCATAGAAATTTCTCCCTCCCTTTGCTGCTTCTTGGCGACCTCCAGAGAAGAGCACATTGACCCTTTTGACCACTGTTTCCCAAAGTGTCATCTGTGGAACCCTAGCATTGCAAGATGCTTCATTTAAAAAAAAGGAGGGGGGGATTTTGTAGCCACATACATCTGGGGAATGCCGTGTAACGTATTCTCCTCCCAGAAAGTCACAGTGCACATCTGGATATAGAGCACTTCCAAAAGTTCTATAGTAAAGTTACCAGCTTAATTTTGTTTAGTTTTGGGTTTTCCAAGCTTATCTAACCACATATCCTCCCCTGACTCTTCGCCCATCTAGAAAAAAGGGGTTTTGGCCTTCGACTTGGAAAAGCCTTGGTTTGAGTCATGCTTCTTACTAGTTGTGATGAGCCTGTCCAAGAAATGTAACAAACTTTGAGCCTGAATTACCTCTTCTGTAAAATGGAGTTTTTACCAGATGTATCTCACAAGGTTACTATGAGAATTAAACAAGTTAAAATGTAGAAACACTTTCTAAACTCTAAGGCACGCATGTGTGTGTTTGTGTGTGTATGTGTGTGTATACAAGATAACAGTTGTTCAGAGCAACATAGACAACATCTGCTCTCATCTTGAATAAACTCATTTGACTTACAAGAAGGTCATATGCCAAGGAGAACAGGAAAGGAGGAGAAGAGCCACACAGTGGAAGGAGAGAGGGGAGAGACATTTCATGATGGATAAAGACAATGATACTAGCACTTCATTTTTGATTTTTAATTTTTTTTTTGCAGGAAGGCCTTTTTTTTCGGGCTTGTTTAATTTTCTTTTTTTCTGTCAGCAATCACAAAATGTTTTATTATAATAAACAGCATTAGAGATCTTGCTATTATCACCTATTTTTCTTCTCAGCCTGCAAAAGAAATATCATCCTCAGAACGACAAGTGTGGCCACGAGGGCTAACTGTTAAAGGAACCTGCTCTGTTCCTTTATGATGGCCTGTTTACAGGAATGTGTGTCTGTCGTTCCCTAGGACACGGCAATAGAGAATCACCTGCGTGTCTATGCTTCAAAGGAAGGCCACAATGAAAAGACACACAAAACCTCCAGGAAGTCCTTTGGGCATGCCCACATCGATCCTCCTTGGCTCCTGAGTGACAAATCTCACGTTACATTCTACGGAAGTGCCTTCCCCAATAGGAAGGCAGATTTTAGTGGTAAGAACCCAAATGTCTTGCTCATTGATCTGGGCAAACTTAGTCACGCAGAGTTCATTTGAGAACACTGAGACATGCCTAATGTCACTTCCTTGTGCCATTCACCTTAGAAAATAATAGCTAGAGTCCAGCTGGATGTGGGGATGAGACTCTGACAGACTCCTCTTTGCCTAGTGCTCAGTAGCCACACACATTCTGAAATCACACCACCTGGGATCAAATTATCCCCCACTTACTAGCTGTGATCGTGGGCAAATTATTTAATCTTGCTGAGGCTCAATTTTCTCATCTGTAGAATGGGGATAATAATTCCTCCATAAGGCTATTGTGGGGATTCAGTAAACTAATGTATATAAAATACTTTACATAATTATTTTCCCATATTTAGTACTCAATATATATTATTATTACTTTCATGATCATTCTTTCCATCACTTGACAGCAAGAGTCCAACCCAGATAACGAGACAGATTGTGGCTTCCTGAACCACAGCCTCAGCCAAAGCCATGGCTATCTCAGCACCTAGCACTCTCCCTGCCCATCTTCCCATGAACCAAAAAGTGATCAAAGTGGAAAGTCAGCTGGTCATCTCCATACCCGCAACTAATAAATTCTCATTCCCATCCTGTTTCTACAGACAAACCAAGGACTATGAAACTCCACGAGGCCAGAAGTGGCCACTTGTTACGGGAGCCTCCTGCTGAAAGATGCCTTTTCCCTTCTGTAGCCTCTGCTACTGGCTCAGAGAAAAACACCCCTGGGGATGTGAAAAAGAAAAAGGTTGTGTGTGTGTGTGTTTGTGTATGTGTGTGATTAATCCCAATCCAGAAATGAGGTGACCCAAAGAGATGTCTCAGCAGAGAACTGGCCTCTCTAGCCTCTGAGCTCACCAGGTGGAGCTGGGATAGAGCTGCAGGAATTTAGTAAATGTTGAAAATCGTGAAGTACAAGGAATTTCAGCTGCCCCAGATGCTACCTTAAAGTATATGTTATTACCACACTCTCCACTGAGGGTCTATCACCTTTGAAAAGGTAGGGCAAATTTTGCAAATGTATTAATTCCCTTCAGAAGTCCAGTATACCTTCTTCCTCAGAGATGTCCTGGGCTATCTCTGGCCTGGTCCTGCCTTGCAATTCTATATGGGCCTTCAGTGGTGCGAAGTCATCAGTGATGAACAGAAACAAGGAGGGGCTCCAGAATGTTCTGCCCTGTAGCGACTGTGTGAACATGAGGTTGCTCACACCCTCTGGGCCATAGTGAACTGATCTGTGTGCACAGATAGTAATGCTAACTTCACAGGGCTGATGGAAAGATAAGACGAGATGATGTACTTCCGGGAAAGTATGCTGTGTCCGATTGGGATTACAGCATTGTTGATTAATTGCAAGGATTTGTGTCATCTGAAGAGGCACTACAGGTGGTCCTAGTGCCAGTGAGAGAGGTTGTTTTCAGTCTGTTCAGGATTTTCTCCTGATTTTCACAGATTTCCTATTCCTGAGTTGATCTAAACCTTTCCATCCACACCAGAAGGGCCTCTGTCTTCCCAGGTTCCTTTGGACCAAGAGTAAACAGCAGGCCTGACCGGCCAGACTCACCACAGGCCAAAGGAAAGCCCTCGATCTCACACCCGGGTCAGCCCAGAACTGGGCCAGCCTCAGAGGAAAGGAGTCCCTTCCCTCACCCATGTCTATGGTTTAACAGAGGAAAGCAATATTTTCCACTACATTAAAACTCTGTGTAAATTTTTAATTAGAATAAAGAAATTAAGTCTTGGCTTGTCCACCATACCTCACACAAATGGTTCTGAGTTTCCACATCAATTTCTCAATGCAAACCTTGTCAAACAAAATGCACAAGGTCAGTATTCAAAAAAGGGCAGTTGGTGGGCAGCCAGCATTTGGACAGTGAGGGTCTCTAGCAACATAAAGATCCTATGTGCATGTTTGGTTAACCGTTTTCTTAATGTCTCAAAATTATAAATATTACCCTTAATATATTTGGTTGAATTTCCTTCCTCAATCAACTCTAAATACATAGGATGCTTATGTATGTTTCTGATCATTTTTTTCTTTTTGAGCACTAAAAAAGAGACACCAGAAGGGCTCTGTCTTTTCTGGTTCCTTTGGATCAGAAGCAAACAGAAGGCCTGGCGTTTTGATTTTTCCTCCTGTGAAACTGAACTCTCTGAAACCCAACACACTTATATATTTTATAGAGTCAAGTTCATATGTTGAGAGTTGCACACTAAAAGGAGAAATTTTCAGCAACTTCTGAATAATTGGAAACAGGAGGCTCTAACTACTACCCCTAGCATATCTCTCATATATATAGTACACACATACTTTTTTTGGACAGAAAAAAACTAGACCAAATTAGTGGCTGATTCCGACACACAATGATTTTTTTTTCAGCTATGTTCATTTTGCAGAAGTGTGGAGAAGTTTAGATTTTATGCTAGTAGCTAGATACACTCTAATGAGAGGAGAGTCCACTCCCAAAGAAATATCTTAGAAATAATTCTAGTTTCAAACACTATTGTAATTACATATATTGGCTCATTTAATCATCATAATGACTTTATGAGGTAGACAGTACGATTATTCCTTTTTTACAGAGGAAGAAATGGAGTCTTAGGGAGGTTATGTAAGATGAGCAAATGCAAATGCGTATTCCTATTTTCTGCCCCTTCTTACCTGAAAGCTTGCAGTCAAATGTTGTGCACCTTGCTTTTTTTCCTTAACAACGTATGCCAAGATTTCTCCCTATAGGTACATAGAGATCTCAGCTATGTCATTTCAATCCTGCTCAGTTTCCCTGGCTGCATAAAGAAAGACTATATATACTGTCAAAGGCTTAAGTTTGTCATGTTTATAATTTTCAGAGGTAGGATGAACAGAGGCATATGCTGAGCTCCCAAGAGACCAAACAGCACCACTGAGGTTAGATACCCGGCTCCCAGTTTGGTTAGCTTCACTTCTCTCAGCAGCTGCTGGTGCAAGAGATACACACAATAAGATATTAATACAATATCATTTGCCCCCTGCAGACAGCAGGGCTTGGATACCTGCCTTGTTGATTATGTTTTTAAATTTTCTCCAGGCACCAAAGGCTTTGAAATTACCTTCTATCTCAGAAGAACCACCCAGAGTCCTGGACCACCTGAGGAGCCAATTTAAAGCCAATGAGCCCCCAACAGAGCTCTTCATAGTCCCAGTGGAGATTCATTTCCACACCCAACATCCCCCAAGAGAAAAAGCCTGCAGAAGAGGTAGGTCCCGTGTGCATGGGCACTCCTGAGGGAACTCAGGTAGGCCAGGAAGGACTGGGCTGTGGGGTTCTGCCAATCCGACACACTCTGATATCATGGCTGACCTTCCCCATGGCTATCCTCTTCAGAGAATTTTTTTTAAGAAGGAAAAGGGTAAAATTTTGAAGTACGTCTATTCTGGTCACATTCAATTCAATTTTAAAAATATTTTTCAAGACCTTCATTAAGCAGTGCATTTTGTTAAACTGTAAAAGAGAAAGGAAGACAGGCATACACATAAATAAGTCCAATGCACCATAGGTGTCATAAAAGTACAAGAATTTTCAGGCAGCTCACGAAAAAAGAAATAATATAAAGCAACACAACTATAATTGAAATTGAAAATAAAAAACCTGGTTAAAAGGAGTAGACAAATAGATGTTATCAGACATCTGGGATGAATTTATTGCTTTAGGTAAGCACTAAATTTGGCTGAGTTTCCTGGCAGCCAAGGTAAAAATGATACTTCGATCTTTGCATCTTCATTTTATAAAAGGTAAAAGTTTGTCCAAAGAGTCATTTTCCTGATTCTGAAATAGGTTATTACATAACAGATGACCTCTACAATTTTTGTCAAGGCAGAGATTTTGTACTTCTAAGAAAAGTTCTAAGAGAATATGGACAAGGGAGAAATCATCTCTAACTGGGGACTTAGGAAAGCTTTTTGGAGGAAGCTTCTGAGTGACCTCTCACAGTGTGTCACAGAGAGAAATTCTTCCTAACCTTCCTAAGTCATTCTATAGTACTATTGTCTGAGACACATTCTTGCTCCTGGGACCTCTTGGACCATCTGAGGCAAAACGTGACTCCAATTTTAGGAGGATCCTAGTTCTGAGTTATCTAGAAACTTGAGCAGAAACTGCCACTGATTTCTTAGATAGCTTTGACTCCTGGGAATCATATAAGCAGCCATTTTGTTCTAAAGCTGTTTGGAATTCTCACTGTGAAGAAGACTGCCTAATTGTTGCGACTAAAAGATCAGTCAAAGAAAGGGGGAATAAAGGAACTATGTGGGGTGATGAAAATATTCTAAATCTCGGTTGATTGTGTAGATTATACATTTGTTAAAACTCATTGAATTGTACACTTAAGATCTGTGCATTTCACTGTATGCAGATTTTACCTTTCTAAAATATTACTCAGCTCCTTAAAACACACACAGACACACACACACCACCCAAAACATGGTGTTTTAAAATGTAGATCTTACTATTATTCAGGTGTGGTGTGGCCAACAGATCAGGAGACAATCGCCACTGAAAAGATAGTTTGTTACCCACAGTTCCCAAGAAGAGGGGCATGCCACGTCATGTAGGCATACAGGGAAGCACCAGGGTTAGTCAGAGGCAGAAGTGGGGGAATGTGGGCAAGAGTCTTTACTGTGTTTTTTGCGGAAGGAATGAGCAGGGCAGGGCAAGCAGGCTAAGCAGGTTTAGGATTGGCAAGTTTGAATAATTCATTGGGCTCTAGGACATAGGGGATGTCCCTAGTTGTCTGATACTAGCCCTGGGGTAATTAGGGCAAGTGAATAGTGGTCCAGCAGTGTAACAGTTTGGTAAAGGAAGTAGTTCTGGATTAATTGGTTTACATATAACAATGTGCTCCCAGGTAAGAGGTCATTTACTATCTCTAGGAATTGGCTATCCCTGGGAGCGACTGACTCCTCAGGGTCAGTCAGGTCCCAGATGTCAAAATATCAGAATAAAAACATATACTTAATACAAAGAGAGACATGACTATCCACAGTTGCATTAAATCTGATTATTTTCCATGATGACCCCGACGGGAAAATCAGGAAGACCACCAGGCTATCATGAACCAGATTCTTAAAGCTATTAGATGCATCAAGCTTGCCAACACATCACCAAATGAAAAATAGGAATAAGGTACAAAGAACGTGAATCCATTGAGTTCTTCCTTCTTTTACATATCAGAAAAAAAAAAAAATATATATATATATATATATATTAGTTCATGCAACTTCAGAACCAGCTGAATCCAGCCCTCAGAAAATAACATGTGGGCAGTACTTTTCTAAGTCTCTCAGCTCTGTTAACTTTTTCTCTCAAACAGGGTCTTATCCTGTGGGGATAAAGATGTTCTCCTGCAATTCCATGCTAAGCTCTTACCTTTGCAAAAAGGATATGCCTCTTAAAAGCTCTTGCAAAAGAGCAAAAATCACCTGATTGGCCAGGTGTGGGTCATGTGCCCACCCTGGAACCAATCACTGTGGCTAAGGCAATGAGATCCTCTCATGCCAGGCTTCAGTGACATGCACATCCCTGGAGTCAGGGAACGGACACAGCTCCACCCAAACCACATGGTGTGAGCAGGGGAGGGGTAGGTCCCCAAAAAGAAGAGCAGACATCTACTACAACTTGGCTTTCTCTTTGCCTCGTAGGTGCTGCATACCCTGAGTCAGACCCAGAAACAGAAGAAGAGGCCAGGCCTTTATGGAGGCCTCCCCTGAAGCATGTGTCATTGGAAAGGCCACGGGAGTTAACAGTGCATCTCCCAGTGGACACAGGAAGGGACAGGGACAACTTCCCGCCTCAAGGTAGCTCCTCCTTCCTTTCCACATCCCTCAGGAATCTCTCTCGGAAGGGAAGCAAGGCAAGACATGCAAGGGTCCTCAGCCAAGAAAAAGGAGGCTGGAAGGGAGGTTAGTCCATCCCCGGCCACTTAAAGATGGCTTTTGTTCACGCAGCAGCTGGCTTAACCAAAGTGCTGAAGTAAAACTAACTTAGTATCTAGCTTGCAAACTGCTTACTCACCAAATCATTCCCCTACTAACACTTCCTGGTTGCAGATGTAAGATGGCACCAGACTAACTAAAAAATTGCTGCATGCCCTATACTTAATCCTACATTTTTAAACAATGAAATTTCATTTCTAATCTGGTTATAAATATGTATTCATTAAAAAGTCCATAATATCAGTAAAAGTCTTCACTCCAATTTTTCAAAACAGCATATAGACATTTGAAATTATACACATGGATGCATCTAAGTGTATGTGTTTATGTGTTAGATAGGTTGGAAGCAATGGGCCATATTTAGAAAGCTACTCATTTAAAAAAATTCCTTTCCAAAAGGCATCTGCAAGACCACAGTATCACAAATGCCAAGTGATCTCTGACTAGTGGTATCAGAAGTAAAAGGATGCACATTAATGTGTATGGAGCTCTTCCTCTGTGCCAGGCACTGTTCTTAGGTTTTTTTTTTT